AGAAAGCCTCTGTGTCCCTTGCTGAAGGGCTGCCTGTAGAACTGGTTCACTAGGACTCACTATACTGATTTGATATATCCCAGGCCCTAAGAGGTCACAGCATGTATGGTTCAAAGGGGCTGGGCCACTGGCAGCAACTCTTACTGTTGTCCATGTGCTTTTTTTTTTTTTTTTTTCAGGCATGCAGAATGCAAGATTAGTGAAGTCACTGATGTTACCAAACAGACTTCAAAGTAACTCCTGGAATGCAGATAAGGATCTCTAAGAGAGGGATGCATAATGCTGTGGAAATATAACCCAGCTGTAGGAGAGAACCAAGGCAGTCAGAGATCTAGGAATGTAGAACATCTGGATGGGGCTGTCCAAATCTAAGAAACTCACAACTACCTTGTGCCATGGATGAGGAATATCAAAGTACAAAATTTAATGTTTGTTCAGCTGGATTATGACTTGATCCTGTTCTTTTCTATCCTATCGTTCTCTTTTAGGATGGGAATGTTAACTCTTTATTATTGAATATTTGGATTATTTAACTAGCTTTTCGTATTTTCGGTGATTTAAAACTAAGAGTTTGCCTTGTGTTAGAGAGAACTTTGACTTGGATTTTGTGAAATGCTAGAACTGTTTGGACTGGTTGAAGGGATTACTGTGTTTTTGATTATATACACGATAGTTGTTCCATGTGGGCAGAATTATGAGGTTGTCATTGTTTGGAGACGAAGTATAGCTTATGGGGATGTATTTCGCTGTCAACTGTTAAGGGGTGGAATGTAACAAGCTAAATTGTCAATTTAATTGGCTTCAGCGTCTCCAGAGGGTTGGTAAAGCACACTCTCAGGTATATCTATGAAGCTTGACCTTTTGTGCAGTATCTGGTTCTTGGCCCCTTCCCATTTAGCACTGTTCTTCTGCTCTGCTTCTGATCACTAAAGGTGAATAGCTTTGCTTAGCTGAGTCCTTCCAACATGTTTCTGCTTTGGAGCCAGCAAAGCATGGACTGAATTTTCTGAAGTGGCACACAAAATAAACCTCTCCTTCTTCAGATATGTTTTCACCAGCAATGGGATCACTGAGTAATACAATTGTAATCTTTTGGAATGTCAATTGTCTAATGCAGTAATTAAAAAGATTGCCAAATTGGATTAAAACACAAGACCCTAATATATGTTGTCTGTCAGATTGAAAATGAATTGATATACATCATGCATACACTAACTTCAAGATAAAGGGAGATGGAATGTTAATTTCAAACAAAACAGAGTTATTCAAAAGAAAGTAATCAGGTGAAGCCTAAATAAAGCAGTGAAAATACAAGAGGCAAAAACTGAAAACAGCACTGAGAAATAAATGAATTCACTATTATAATTGGAGACATCAACAAATCTCTATCAGAAATACTGATCCATGAGGCAAAAAAAAAAAAAAAAAAAAAAGGTCAGTAGGAAAAAAAAAAAAACAGCTAGCTAACTTCACGCCACCATCAATCAGACTGATAAATGACATCTAGGATTATCAAAAAGTAGACATATATTTCTCAAACTCACAGGTAACCTTGACCAAGATAGTCCACATTCTGGGCCATAAAAGACACCTTGACAAATTTAAAAGAATATCAATTCAATATGTTGCTAATGTAGTAGCTTAGTTTGCTTTCATTAAGCAGGCAGTTAGGGAAGCCTCAGATGGAGGAGTTAAGCAGGCAGCAGGTTGAGCTTAGACATTACAAGAAAATAAAATAGTACACCCAGGCTAAAGAGCTAATTCAAGCAGCTGAGCTAAATTGGGAGATGAAAAGGTAAATACAATAACAAAGGATTAGATATTGAGATAAGAATGGAGACATAAGGACTTTTCCCTCATTGGACCTGTACCTGGGGTAAACAAAGAGTGGCTTTGTTTTTTTAATTCTTTTGAATTCCATTCCCTTCCCATGCTCTGCTTATATACATATAAGTTCATGGCAAAGATCCCAGATTGGGTATTTTCACTCAGGATTAGACTTCTCTTATTATTGCTTCCACTAAAAGTATCAGAACTTCTTCCTGCAGTTCATGGTTTCATTCTTCATTGTTGGTGGAACCATAAGCCCAACTCATACGACAAAAGTAATATCATGGCATGATAGAATTAAACAAATTGCAAGATGATAGTTGGAAATTTTCCAAATACTTAAATATTAATATTCCAAAACTGAATGAGCTTGTACATATTAAATTAATATGATCAACAATTAACAATTGTTAATAACCCAGGTGGGAAGCACAGTGTCATATGGGCTTGGCAGTGAATTTTACATATAAAGAAATTATATCAATTCTGTATGATGATGAGATTGAAGGTGACAGAACATTTCTTATTGTGTTTATATGGGCAGCATCATTTAAAACCAAAAAAGACATTAAAAGTGAACTACAGACCCATATATTTCAGAAACATATATGCAAGAGTCTTTAACAAAATTTTATAAAATCAAATTTAATAATACATAGAAAGTGTACAAAATTGACATAGGAGATTAGGGTTCAGCAAAGCTGGCTGGGGAAGTAGGTGTCACCTGTTAATTACAAAATTCTGGAACACATTCATAGAACAGTTCCCAAAGTGCTGCATGTGGAATTGTGAGCGCGAGTAGGTTTTCCATGGAATGGCCAAGACTCAACTAGGACCCTGATGTAGAAGTTCTTGTGGTTTTCCTTGAGATTTAAACAGTATAAAATGACAAAGGCACCAAGAAGAGCTTGCTCTCGTGGCTTTCCTCAAGGCAGTCTGCTCTCATGCTTTTTTTCTTCTTTACTCACTCAAGCCTACTGTGCAGAGCCCATTTCTCCCTTACTTTTCACTTTTACTATTTTAAATAAAATCTGTCGATGTTTTTGCTCATTTTGTTCAACTATTTGTCTGAGATGAGATGAACCTGAAGTCCAACTCCAGAAGGAAAGGTGAGCTGCCCAAAACTGGTAATCTTCATTTGGTAAGCCACTTTTGCAGAAACTACCTGGTAACGCCATGATCAAGGGAGGTTTATCCCAAGTATGGAAGACTGATTTAACATTCAAAATATTATTCCTTGGGCTGGTTCACAGAAAGCATTTGATAATCCATCACCTATTCATTATTTAAAAAATTCTCAGTGAACCAGGACTACAGAAAAACTGCCTCTATTTAACAAAGAATGTCTACAAAAAGCTACAGCTACCATGATATTCAGTGATTTGAAATTCAAAATTTTCCTATGAAGATAAAAAAAAAAGGCAGTTATGTCCTATTTCACTTACGTTTTTCAACCTGAGGCAGGAAATCCTAGCTTATACAATGAGAGGAAAAAGAAGTAAAATGTATTCAGACTGGGAAGGAAAAATAAAAGTCTTAGTTCATTTACTGTCATAGACAGCTAAATTAGGTAGAAATTAATATGCAAAGAGGGATTGCTACATGACTTGTTTCCCTATGAGACCAATATTAGCTAAGCTACTCCACGAGTAATCCTACAAGTTGACTCTAGCTTGACCCATGCTGTAATGTTACTGCATAAATTACCCTCAACAAAAAACCTCAGTGGCTGCCACCTCCGGACTTCTAAAAAATCCAAGAGCAATAAAAGTCTCCTTTCTCCTTTGGTTATTTCATTCCTTGATGTTGTGAGACCACAAACTTGGCACATCTGACATCTGTTGTAATAGGATCACTTTCCCCATTGCAATATGACATGATCATCTGTGTAGGAAATATGAAATTTAGTTATGGGCCTCACTTAGTGATGGAGATGTGTGTGCTATAATAAATATCTCGTTAAGTAATTTCATCATTGTGTAAATATCAGAGTTCACTTAACAAAGGAGGCCATAACATCACTAAGTGATGTAAGCTAATGATCCACAAATATATATGCAGTTTGTACTTAACTGAAATATCACTGTACAACACATGATTGCGTTGACAAAAGTCCTCCTGGAACTAATAAGTGATGACAGCAAGTTGCACTATAAAAGGGTAAGATATTGAAGTCCATTACTTTCATTTATATATATATATATATATATATATATATATATATATGCAAGAAACATGTGGAATTTGAAATGAAAAACATACTATTTACTTTAACAATTCCAAAAATAAGTAAAGGTAAAATTTACGAAACATACACAAGATCTACATGAGGTAAATGGCAAAATTCTGGTGCAATTAAAAAAATAATTTGAAAGATATTTCATGTTTACAAAGACTCAATATCAATAAGATTTTACATTTTTCCAACACGATCTATCAATTCAATTTAGTCTTAACCAACTTAATTGAATCCAGTCCTAACCTGGCCAGTTATTCTCTGGATATGGACAAACTAGTACAGTTTAAATGGAGAGGCAAAAACACAGACATTTATGTTTTTACCATATGATTCAGAAATTGCACATCTCCATATTTACCCAAAGGAGATGAAAATTTATCTCCACACAACATGTGCCCAAGAGTGTTCACACCATCTTCATTCAAATTTTGCCCAAAGTTGACGGCACCAAAGATGCTTTTCAGTAGGTAAATTTGTATATTCAAAGAAATATTGTCACAGCTAAAAATTGATGAGTTAAAAATCATCACAAGTAGGTGATTCATAAAAAAAAAACTTGAGTGCATATTACTATGTGAAAGAAGCCAGCTGAAAGGTTATATGACATATAATTAGCTATAAGACACTTTGGAAAATACAAAACTGCAGAGATAATAAAATGACTAATGGCTGGTAAGGACTGAGGACTTAGGTTGAACAGGTGGAGCACGGGGTATTTGCTGGACAGTAAAACTACTCTGTATGATATCTATGTCTACAGTTATACTTGTATCTATCTATAGCTAGGCAAAGATACATAGGTACTAATCAGCATGTACATTCAAACAAAAGAAGTTCCCATATAGCTGAGCTGGTGTTAGAGAGTATGGTTCAATTAGCATAGAGTCATATAACATTTAATGGTTTTTAAGAAGAAGCAGTAGAGATTCCATTTCAAAAATTTAACATGAACATTTATTTGTCATCTCAATTTTAATAAGCAATAGTTTTATTACATATGATAGAAATATATACTCATGTACATCTAAGAAACAACACAAGCCTGTAATTAAATTAGAAAGCAGTAAGAAATACATGTACAAAGGCATACAGGCATTGCTAAATTGTATAATTTAGACAAAAAAGATATTCTAATTGCATTGCTCCCCTCAAACCCCCCAAAAAGAATAAAGTTCAGCAGATAGGAGCATTTATGATCAAGGTAAATGTTAGAAAATAAGTAGCACCTTTAGTCGTTAAAATGATTGTCAGCATTTTTAGGAAGCCTACATAAAGCAATTATGATTTGTAAAGAAAGTAAAAATAATTGATTACCTGTTGCATATTTAGCATTTGCATAGAATGTTTGACTGAGAAAATAAAAACAAATTTTTCCAATCAGGGTATCAACTTAGTAAAGAAAATGCTACACAAGTTTCTGTATCTTCCTTTTGATACTAGTCAGAAAATTGCCAATATATATTCATAGACTTCTGTAGTATTCTAATAATTCAGATCCATCGATTCATTTCAATAACAAATTATTCGATGCTGGGATTTTGCCAAGCATTAAAGTTAACATCAGAGTTAAGGTAACATTCTGGTCAACATGAAGCTCACAGTCTAACACAAAAGAGATTCATTTCAAAATATATTCAAAACTACACGCAAAATATGTATCCCCACAGAGGACATGAACATTTGGTTTCAAATTTATTGTACAATCAAACATAGAAATGATAGCAGATATTTTTTCTAAAACTTTATGCCATATAGCACGAGGGTACGGCTGAAAGGCAAGTGGAAAATGATAGCATTAAACCAAGTGTGCTCATAGAGGAAGTAAGAATACGTGATCAACAATACAATATATTCCTGATTTAAATAAATATACATAGTATTTTATAAAGCAAGATATGTATTTGTATAAAAATGCCAGTTATATCACTTTGGTTATTCTTTAGTACACCTTATTTGTTAACTTCAGAACTGTTGCACACACAAAAAAATTCCAGAAATAAATATATCAAGGTCTACTCACAATCACTTTAAGTACATTCATGTAAGAAGGCAAAAAGAGAATTTAAATTTATTAAACTTTCACAGTCACTGAAATGAATTATTTATATACTTTTAAAAGAATGAAATAGTATAGCCATGACTTAGATCATGTCATCTTAGGTGTCAAGCAAGCAAAACTACCCTTCACTTTATTATCATAGTAATTATGGTTGTTCGACCATGTGGTGATTTGTTCAATGGTCATTAAGATATCTAGACACATAGCAACTGCATTTTTTCACTTAAAAATCACAAAAATGCAGCATAAAACATGAGAGTATAGATTAACACCTAAATCCAATCACTTAAAGAACTCATGTAAAAGTTAGCTAGGTATGTGTGTTGTCAAGAAGTGTCTTACTTATGACTTACTAGTTGTAAAAGGTTATATACAACTTTTATCCCCCAAATATTATTTTTATTATTTGCTCCAGTTCAATACTGATATGAGACAGAAATATTTGTTGAATGTGTGGTAGTAAATAACATTTTTCTCCAAAGTCTCTGAATAATGGAGCATTACCTATTGTGGAAAATACTTCCTTAATACTTCACTTCAAAATATCTGGGAGGTAGCACTAAAAATCTTCCCATCAAATGCCAATTTCAGTACATGTTTGAAAAGACACTGGTTTTTCATCTTCAACACAGGAATTACTAGACCTGACATGTCTAGTTAAAGTATATTATTTTTGTCCTCATTATAAAGAAAAGACCTTAAAGTATTTAATGGATGGGACTCCAGGGAGCTACTGAGGCTGCCCTCAGTCACAAAGCAAATGTGGCATATGGATGACAGTTTGGCTGAATTTAACCACACACATCACTAACTACACTTCAGACCCTTCTCTATTCATAGATTTTAATGAACACAAAATAAATGAAGCAAGATATTTACTACTACGTTTATATTTTTTCCTGGGGAATATCAAATTGCCATCACTCTTCCTGCAGAGATCATCTATGTCTGAGAGATCTGTTGCTGTGGTTGTTATTGCTCATACTGTTGTTTTGTTGGGGCATGAAAACAGAAAATCTGGCAAAAATATCTAACCGAGTATGACAGAGGTAGATGATATCACCAATACAAAGGAATCTCTATACTGTACCACGATGGTTGTGGAGTTTAGTGCAATGTATTTAGGTGAAATAATCATTTAAAAAACAAAAATTCTCAGATGTGCTGTGTTTGAATATTTTTTAAACTCATTTTCACATTCTGAAAAAGAAATACTGTAGGGCTTATCTCCTTAATTATACTATGTTAATAATTTCTTGCACATAATTTAATAATTAACAAGCTTGTACTGGTTATTCCATGCTCTGGTATAAGTTAGGAAAAAGCAATTAATAAAATACTGACAATTTCTATCAACATGATATTGATATCTTTTTAATGGGTTTCAAATTACTATTCCAACATATTGTATGCAGAATTATTTATCTTATTCACTAGTTGTTATCTTTGATTACCCAGAATTATTTGCTGTTGCAGTTGGTGAATACTCTTCAACATACATTTGCAAACAAGATTTTGCAAAGTTTAGTTGGAGAAATACATTTACTGGAATACACAGGATTTGTCAAGTGTGTTTTTATTGACTATAAAGGTTATCATTATCAACAAAATTTCTTAAATAGTGCAGAGGAGAGAAAAATATGCTAAGTCAAAAAACCTGTGCTCTATTTCCAACTATTCATTTACTCAGAGGATTGGTGTATATTTATGTAAAGCCCTTAATCTCGTCTAGTTTGGTATTGTACAGTAAAAATGTAATATGCAACAAAATTAGCATAGAAAATTGAGATGATAAGTTAATAAAATGTATCATTTGATACATAAATATATCAAAAATAAAATATAACACAAATAAAAATAATACATCTAATTGCTCAGAAAATAAATATTTCACTTCATATATCTCATCTCTTAATCCAAAAAATACTCATATTTTAATTAGAAATAGAAAATAAATGGCAGAAAAATAAAGTCCATTGAATAATATTTTTTAAAAATTGTGCTCTACTTTAGTGACCAAGGTCTATATATGGGTCTAATCTAGTAACCTTACCCTAACATATATGAAAATAAAGAACCATCCCCCCCAAAAATAATAACTAAGACTTAGTGCAAAGACAGTTTTAAAGTTCTACTTTGAAATTTATGAGATAAAACTTATGAGATAAAAATTTCATTCTTCTTTTCCTCTTAACAGAACTTTTTACCAGTTTAGTATGTTTGAATAGAGTACCCAGTATTCAGTATCAGTGCATTCTTACAGAGATCTCTATTTTAATGTCACATTTGTATTGAACACAAAAAAACCCCAAAATCTTGTTTTATTGTGGGAAGAAAAATATTTGCTACACTGTTAATAAATTCATGGTCCGTGAATATTGCCCTATAGAATTATTCTTCAATAATGCTAAACTTACTAAAGCAGTAAATACAAAGACAGAAATGCATACAGAACATACAAATAATAAAACTGTACTTAAACATGTCAAAGAAACAAGAATTTCATAGTAAAGATGTTCATAGTTAGATGAAAAAAGTTTAGTTTATCCACAAAAAGAAAATAAATTTTAAAAATAATTGTACAAAAATGGAGGGAAGCAGCAGTAGATTGAGAGATGGGAAATAATTTAGTTTAAAAATTTCTGTGTACTCTACCAAAGTCAATTTTAATTTTGTTCTTAAGGTAGAGACATTAAAACTTATCATTCATAATACTAACCATAGCAATTCTTCCAGGATCTGTGCACAAATGAATTAACATTTAAAAAAAAGCAGTAGAAAGAAGACTAAAAAAAAAAAAAAAAACTACAGGATATGAAGAGCTAAGACAAAGTAAGAGAAAACCAGAATTATAGAACATATGAACACAGAAAAGTATTCATTTTAATTATATAAATTAATTTATGATTTTGCTTTATAAGCATTATAATTAGTTACTGAGAACTGGGGCTCAGCTGTTAAGTGTACTCTCAAACATGATCATATTTATGGATGTAATGAAATCACAATAATAAAATATATGTGAAAAGTCAAGATTTTAATTTTGCTTTTAATCTCAAGAATTATGATGTTTGGTGTTATACACTGTCGTGGTTAGAAACTTAGGAGGTAAGATGTATCAGCAATGTCACTGCACTGACAGCCTGTGTGACACCTAATAGAGAAATACGGTGATGGAAAGCTTTGTTTCTCAAAGTTGTCAGTTCTTAAAGTTGTCAGCCACTTTAAGAGAATTAGAAACATATCAGTAAGTGCCAACAACAGAAAGACTGTTGTATCTAGATTCTTTAATATTTATCTTGCATAAGGGAAATTCATATTAACAAAGTATTTCCTACACCGAAGCACCTCTCCTGTCCCTGAAACCTTAAGCCTAGAGTTTCTTCGTTCGTGCAGATGAAGGGTCATGGCCAAAAGTATAACCAGTTGGCTACAGCACAGGCATTCTTGCGAATCACAAGTAAATCATACATCATGCATGACTACCTATCAGAGGTAGACTATCTCAGGCATGGTCATCTGTTAAGAAAGCATCAGACATTCCAATGTGAAACACAGTGGCACCTGATCCACTGGCTTTTCCATTTTGAAAACAAAAAGATCAAGAGAGGGTGCAAACACATCAAAACAAATCCATTTCAAAGTTCAATTCATAAACTATGAAGCATATCTAAGCTAAACAGTGGAAAAAAAAAACAGGATGCTCCGTTAACACAAATGGAAACGCATTGAAATGACAGTGACCATGATACATGCATCATAGATGACTTCATGAAGAAAGCAGTACACCTGAACAAGGGTGGGGAGAACTTCAGAGGTCCAGCGGGGTAGCAAAAGAACTAGCACTATTTTCCTTTGTAGAATAAGTAGAGAAAATATAGTAATACAGCTGTTTAGAGAAAGTTGAAAAATGAGAGTCTGAGATAGCTATTAAAAATCAATATGCACTTTACAGATGAACCAGAAAATTTGAATATCATAAGCTTGTTTCTTTGAAAAATCCTACAAATGGGCAAAATCAGTAAAATTCTAAATAAAATGTTCTATAGTAAGTAGTTTTTATATTTTGTGAAGTAAGCGGCAATCAGTATAGAAATTACTTATCTATAATGAATAACATTTTCCTCCTAAATCCACCTTTAATGGAAATTATGCCTGAGTCATATAAATACGCCATGTTAAAGAAAAAAGTTACATTAAAATAATTATGCTTGTGATATCATTATGACTATTTGGAATAATTTACACTGACAAGAAAAGAAATTTGAAATTTATATTCAGATTATAGCAAATAATCTCTAATAAATACTAAATAAATCATAATATAATTACAGTTGTCTAATTTTTTCATAGAAGTTTTAGATTTTTTTGTACTTATATTTTATCTCCCTTTCCTACAACAGTGTCTATTGGGAAGCAATATGAACATTTTAGGAGAGTTCTGTTTTTACATATACTCAATTTTATGTTTTAACTTTGGTGAATTTTTATAGCTTCTTTATCTGTTTTGTCTTCTCTCATTTATTATGTCAAGTTAACGACTTCCTCCATCACTTCCATTTGAACACTAAAAAGCATTGCATAGGTACAGTTCATCACACATTAGGTCCCTTCTCACACTGCATTCTTTCTCCCTATCACACTGAGCCTAATAGTTATGATTTCTATTTTACATTATTAGCCTGAGATAGTCTACCTCTGATAGGGTGTTTTCAAAGGTATTTCCCATAAAAACTCAGTTTATATTCAAGGTTATTTCTGTATATATACTATATATATATATATATATATATATATATATATATAATTATATATTTTTCTTTTTTCTATATTCCTGATTGTCATGTTGAACAGCTAGAGAAGGATAAGTATACAATATCTAGACATTTAAAGTGTACTTTGGAACTCCTCAAATCTAGGGGTTTCACTTATTTGCTAGGGTCCAGGTAAAGCCTATAAGCAAATGAGTTAAGATGGCTGGACGTTGCTACAAAACAAATAAAATTTCTGAGTTATGCAAATTTATGTTAAGAAAGCATCAGACATTCCAATGTGAAACATAGTGGCATCTGATCCACTGGCTTTTCCATGTTGAAAACAAAAAGATCAAGAGAGGGTGCAAGCACATCAAAACAAATCCATTTCAAAGTTTAGTTCATAAACTATGAATCATATCTAAGCTAAACAGTGAAAAAAAACAGGATGCTCAGTTAACACAAATGGAAACGCATTGAAATGACCATGAATACTTATTAAACTTGGTTTACATACCACTCCTATACAAATTCATGACGTAAGCAGGGCTTGTTAGGGTTTTTAGTGATGAGTGACTTTGCTTTTGATCTTGAACATATAAAAATCCGTTGTTCTTTGGGGAAAGAATACATTCAGTACTAAATGTTACAGACACAGAAGCCAACTCTTATACCCTCCTTCACTATGTAACTATGTAATAATGCATATTCTAGGCCAATATTCTTTTCTTGGTCTTTTAAAAGATTCTGTTAACACAACAATTCTTCCAAAAAGTTCAAGGGAATAGGAAGATTAAACAAGAAAATAATTTATATTATCCTGGAACTATTGTGAATCTAGGAGTCATTATGTCATTATTTCAAGTGTATTTTTGTTTAGTTTTCAGGACATATGTATGGGAATTAATATGTGGGCATATTTATAAGTTTATGCTGTTCAGCTGTCAGGAATGACTATCTTACATCTATATATGTTTTGAATCTGCATTTTTCCTTCCCTTTCCTTTCTTTTCTAACAAATTAACATAGTCAGAATTAGAAGAAAAACATTAATGAAAGAAATCAAAGAATAGGAAAGCAAACATAAATTGGTTTTGATTAGTTTTCTCCTCCCAGGAAGAAAGCTGTGAAATGCACCCAAAGGACTAGCAGATGATGAAGAAGAGTTTTACATCTAAAATTCTATAATCATTACTTTGTTATTTATTTGCCTAAGGCTCTAATGTCTATATTAGTTTAAATACATATTTTTAGGACATACACTAAGACACTTAGTGCAAGACACTTTTTGGAAATGTTTGGTATTTGAGAGATCTTACATAATGATGATGTACTTCTTATGACAAATCAGAAATGAATACAAAAGCACTAATATAAATCCGGCTAATTCAAAAATCAAGATCAAGTAAAACTAAATTAAAAACAGCCATATTCTGTCACATTTTTCATGATTTATTTACCTATGACATTGGCACATCTTGTTTTAATATTTGAAAAATACAAATATTCCTTCATAAGAAAAGCAAACGTTAAATGAAAAAATGAAATTCTATATCGCTCTCAATATATGAGCCACATGCTTAAATAGTGCATAAATTTGAGAATCAAATTTTTGATGCTAGATATTACAAAAGCTTGGTGTCCAGGTACAGTCTCATAATAAATATGAATAGCACCTGCTTCTACTGCAATAAAAAATTAACGGCAAATTCCCTTGGACATCTCAAGAGTGTCACCATCTTAATAATAAAGCACTAAATATTTTGCCAGTCATATTAAGCCTCCAATTTATAGATGCAAATATTTATGAATTTAGCCATGATACTTATAGTTTTAAAAGCACAGAACCATTAAGAGTATTTGTATTAAAGGATTCAGAGGGCTAGTTGTTTTCAGATTAAAAAAAGAGAAATTTCTACATTAACCTGGACTGCAATATAGCAAGCTTCTTGTTATTATTTTAAACTATACTTACAATTCCATGTCATGCAATCTATATTTCTAGGAGCCTGGTGTAGTTTCTGGCATATCCAGAGGCAGCAGGAAGTCTAGTCAGTAGAGGGCAGAATGTTCCAGTGCCATCCTTCCTATGACATGAACACTGTTTCCCTTAACACTTGCAGTGACTGAGTAAAGGGTCTGTTTACAATTTGTCTTTTGCTTCTGCTTTTTGTGGAAAGAAGGGTGCTAAGAGAACTGAAAGGGCTCCCGCTTTCTGTCAGCGGGACTGATACAGGCACTCACGATGGTAAGCTCAGATCACAGCTGTAATGTTGGAGAAATTAGAATTTTCTTTCTATACAAATTGTCATCTAGGATTCTGTTTATTCTTTGAAATTTCAGTACAACAGTGGATACTGACTGAAGTCTAGTTAGAACGAATCTGGATTAAAAACTAAAACCCTTTTAAAAATCAGTGGATATAGCTCATTGCAAGATGACATTCAGATTTTTAGTCTGATTTACTATTAGGCAAGGATTCTGAAAATTACTCGAGGGTTCAATTTTTTAGCACCGGACACTAACAACACCCCTCAAAGAAATCATGTGTCTGGATTAATTCGGTTTAAGAGCGTTTACAAGTAATGGTGTGAAATGGAATTTTTCCTTTTTTCTCAAAGTTATTTTACATATCGAATATTTTTACAGTAAACAATTGCATTTTGGAATTAAGATCACCTTTATTTTGATCCATGTGCTTATCTTAAATCCTCACTGTAGGATAGTATGCAAATATTATTTCTTTTGTGCCCATGGATTTTTTGAATTTGTGATAACAGTTTTGAGTTTTAGTTTCATTCTCCAGACACTCTTGTTTATGTGGGTTTGTAAATGTGAGAAGATAGAATACTATCCTTCAATTCTATTTCATACGTTAATGGCAAGTAAAAATGAAATGTGAAGATCATTGAATGGGATCAAAAATACTCTTGATTGGTTAAACTAAGGGCATGTGATTTAGATCTTTTTCTACAACAAAGAACAGAAAGTCACTGGAAGACTCTGAATTTTAACCATGAAATCCTGAGTCATGTATGGAGATATATCAGCTGCATGGATTACATATATGTATAATCTCAAAATTTAACTACTCATAAGTTTTCAAAAACTAGTTTACACTTTGTTATTTAGGAATATCTTATTTCCCTTTTTAGTTGTAGCTCCTTGTGTCAATGAAAAATCTTTTCAATACTTTAAAAAGCAAAATGAACTCCTAAGTAAATTCATAAACTGAAATCAGAGATGTGATTCTTCTTAAATGTTAGTTTCTCTTTCTGAAGGAGTATTCTGTGCTTTTGAAGTTTTTACAGTGACTTCATCATGTTTGGGTTTGCTCAAGGGTTCAGATTCTCTGGATTCACGTGATTGTTCATCCTTCTTCCTTGCTTTTTCCTTCTTCCTTTCGTTTGCAAGCAGTCTATAGTTTATAGTGTTGCCAATGAGCAACCATATGCTAGCTACGACCACAATAGCCCCACAGGACATATACATGTATTCGTATTTTCCAGTTACATCCACCAATTTACCTAAGAGACAAAGAACAGTTTTTAAGATGACATAATAAAAGTCATAAAATACCAAATTAGCACTTCCTCAAATTGTGTGCCTCTTAAATTAATGTCAAATTAGACTTTAACACACAAACAAATTCTAGATTATGACTTCTGTAAATATTTAGATATGTACAGGCATTTATAGCATTATATTACTAGTATATTAAATTTATTGAAAATTATTTCCCCCAATAAAAATTTACAATCCAGGTAAGTTGGATATATACATGTATTTATGTGTATTCATAAATACACAGAAGTGTAAGGCATATTTTTGTATCCATATATGTACAATGAAATATATGTTCATTTTATTTGCAGCATACCCTTTGAGGTAGCTTCCTTTTCCTATGCTTCCTTTTCTCTTCAGTGAAGAGGAAAAAAATTATACTCTTCAGGCTATCACGTGGCTCCTGCCAATAAAATGTTGTTTTATTCACCATCAGACTGATAATTTATATATAACAACTCCTTTGGTCTGAACAATCGCTGTGAAGTAATCTGATAGGATTATCTAGACAGTGCATGGCAAAATGTGATCTCTGACTAAAGTCTATCTGAGTCTCTGTTCTTAACTAGTCTGTAAAACGGTTTTACCCAACATCTTGGTTAACTGCTGTACCACTTTTGGGGCTAAATGAATTTTTAAAAAACTTTAGCCAAGTCAAGTATGAGGCCTGAACAATCAGGAAGAAACCATTTGTTCCACTTTATTAGTAAGGCCACTTAAAAACTAGTATGGTGCTTTTTTTTTTCCAGCTTATACTCAGTTTTCCCTCATTTGATTTTCCTTCAAATGTTTATACTTATGAATCGTTGGTTGTTACATTTAAAAAAAAAACACTCAAACACCCATGGCCCTTTTGGTTAATACACTTTGGGCTGAACCCTCAGCATATTTCTTAAGTGTCAGGGGAATTTTTAGCATCAGTACACTAAGAATCTAGAATCTTATGGCTAACCTCTCAGTTTCAAGAATGAGTCCCAAATCAACTTCCAGCACTGGCACCAGTGGCATATAGCTTGGCAATACTAACAAAATGAGCATTCAATATTACTGAAATTATTTTAAAAGTATATTACTGATGCAGGAGCTCAGCCCAGTAGGAATGAACAAATCAGATTAATCTTTAGAACCCTGTTTTGACTTGATACTTTTTTCACATCACCAAGCATAGTTATACATAATTTTTCTAAGCTGATAATTATAATTTTGTTGTTAAAATATAGTCTCTAAAACTCATTTGTTTATACTAATACTGGATGGAAAATTGTGTTTGTCTTATATAACAAAATCAACTAGCTGATCAATAGAAAAATCTAATGGCTTTCACTATTTTTTGACAATGATTTGTTACATTGTATATCTACACTGAGAGACATAACACCTAAAAGCCCAATATTACCTCATTAAGATCTTACAGCTTTCATGTGTTCTAAACCAAGTAGGGAAGTGAATGAAGTCAGTTACAGCATTTAGATTAACAAATTAAAAGTAAATTTTCCCACTATCAAAATGTTTCCATGTTTTTCTGTAGAAAGCAGACTGTCAATAAACTAAACACATTTTTAAAAAGTTATATTTAGCTTGAGCACTGAGCATGAGAGAGCAGGCTAAGAAACTGAGTAAGTTCAGTTTTGGCCAAATAACATACAATGGTTACCGGAAAAGACCAGTATGCAAAATATTTAGTTTGTGCACTTTTTAACTTTATAACTAGGGGCTAGAGATTTAGCTCAGTGGCACAAGTGCCCTCCTGGCAAGCACAAGCTCATGAGTTGGATCCTCGTACAAAAAAAAGAAAAAAAAAAAAAATCAAACCTATGACTAACCAAAGACTCAACTTTAAAAATGGACATATATGTGTGTTTAAATCACAGGTACAGTAACTAAACTTAATTATAATTTTATTTTAAAAGTACTCATAACTATATTTCAAAAGAAAGCCATAAAAGGTAAGAAAAGCCCACAATAACATGGTGCTTCTGTAGTAAGTTTTCCTTCCATTTCCTTTCCTGCCTTCCCCGACCTTTCCATCCCTGCTCTCCCTTCCTTTCCTTTCTCTTCCTCTCCTTTCCTTTTCTTTCCTTTTCTCCATTAAAAAAAAAATCAGATCAGCTTCTCAATGCTTTGGTGATACCCTGAACTTGTTCTTTGTTACCTCATTGGTTAATTTAATTCATTTTTATAGATAGTTTTGGAAATATTTCAGATCTTAAAATCTAAAAGTAATGTTTAACGTAGACTTTATGATATACAACTATGAAACAAAGGTTATCCATTCAATAAAACAATTGTGAATGGATTTTCCTTTATCATGGCATTTTGTATCAATGATACAGAAATATGCCTCCCTTAAATGAATAAGTTCAAAATTAATATGACTGATATATTATAGAAAAAAATCTGATTTTGAACTTTTAAAGTCATTTTATATTTGATACATTTTTATATAAGTGGAACAGAAACTTGTTTGGCAATTATAAAACTGCATTTTACTGTTGTAGTAACATTGTTAAAAGCACAAAACAAATAATTTGATTAAAAGTCCTGAGATTTATGTTCTCAACAATGTAAAGTTTTAAATTCATAGCTCTGACTCTGAAATAAATTTAGGTCTAAAACTGAACAACTATGAAATTTACAAATACATAGTAGGACCTAAAATTAACATCTCCATGGTCTCTTAGAAAATTAGCATTAATCAAATCACATTAGTAACTGTAAAGAAAGTCTCGGTTAACAGTTATTTATATTAATGTTCTTTGTTTTCCTGGATGAAAGATATTCTTACCGGCAAGAGGAGGGCCAAGAAGAACTGGGCCACACTCCACAATTGTGACAAGGCCCACAGCACTGGAGAACCTTGGAGCACCAACAAGGTCCATGAGAGTTTCAAAGAGGATGCTGCTAACACTCCCAAATCCAAAGCCAAAAAATGCAGCATATACCACCAGGCTTGTGTAATCCTTGGCCAGAGGGCATAAAAGATGGCACACTCCAGTGAACAAGATTGCAAAGCAGAAGAAGTACTGAATTCGTGGTCGGATAAGTTTGGAATTTGCAACTAATCCTATACTTGGCCTAGCAAACATATCAACAAAAGCCATTACAGAAAGCAAGAAAGCTGCAGAATACTCATCTATTCCCTTGTCTTTAGCATACGGAGCCAAAAATATAACAGGGGCAAAAAAACCTAGAAACATAATGACATTTCCAGAGAGATAGATCAGAAATCCTCTATGTTTAAAAAGGGAAAAATCTAAATACTGATTAATTTTTTGCGCTAGTGATTTCTTCTTTTGGATTTTCATTGAATCTGGGCCATCCTCTCCTACGCCAATCTTATTTTTAGAGCGAGGAGTACTTTCTTTGGGCCCAAGGGGCCTCATGAGGGCCCCAGCTACACAGGCATTTAAAAATATAGCTCCTAAAATCAAAAAACTTCCCTTCCAGCCGTAAGTATTAAAAAGAAACTGATTGAAAGGGGCCAATGTACTTAAGAAAACAGGACTTCCTGCCATGGCCAATCCATTTGCCATAGGTCGTTTCTTATAGAAGTATTTACCAATGATTGTTAAGGCTGGTTGCAGGTTGAAGGCTAAACCTAAACCTAAAAAAGAATGAGACAAAAGGGGAAAAAGACAACATGAACACATGCCATTTACAATAGAAATTACTTTTCAAAATGTACATTCAAAGGGATAAGGCAGAACTAACAAGGCAATAGTAGGCAGTGATTTTTGATAATTATAAATATAAATGGAACTGTAAAAAGTTAAGGTAATTTTCATAACAGGACACTTCACCCAACTGCTTCATATTCTCTTAAACACAAAAATAAATCTAAGAACTTCTAATGATGTCTGAAAAATCAAAGAATAGACAGAAACAACAAAAAAACTTAGTTCTTAGTTAAAATAAAATCATTTAATGCCATAATCTATTCCATATACATTTATGTGCAAATATATAGATTAGATTTCTCCCTTGTTAACAAGAGTGAAATTTAAAAGTGAGAAATTTCTTTTGAGAGTTGAAGAAATGTGAACAGACTAAAATGTCCATAATTTGTAATAATCTCATCTCTTCAAAGACATTTCTTTTAAATTCCCTGCTGAGCTATACCCCCAGCACTATTATTTCTAATATTTACATTTAAAGAAAAAGATTAGGTACTATGTAAACTACTCTATAGTCATTTTGCATATTAATCATTTAGGAAATTCCCAAGAAAATAGCTATAGATAAGGAGTCTGAACCATAATTTATCCCTGATCACACAGAGTGCGTGTGCTGAATCATGTTTAAAAGCTAGATATGTCTTTTTCAGAAAGCAGCCAAAAACCAAGGGTTATAGTCAGATACAGCAGTTGATGCAAAAAGCACAAAAGACTTCAAGTTTCAAAAAATAAAAATCAGAATAGCAATACGGATACTTTTCTTGCTGGTATAGGAGTATCATAAATCATTATCTCTTTACCATCTCTATTTGCAAATCCATCCAGATTTTAATTATCAAGTTCGACGTAGTATGTCTGCACACAGGAAGGACATTTTCTTGCTATGACAACGCTTGTATGTAAGAGGATTTTCACTTAATACATTAAAAATTACATTTTAAACAGAAATGTGGAAGAGTTACAAAGAGAAAGATTACAAAATCACTATTACTTTTATCCTTTAATATACTAGTTTTTTCTCTCAAATAGTACATGAATGTAAAGTTAAGACTTACCTCAAATCACTATAAAAATGAAATATATTTACATTTTATCTGTGAGTATAAGGAATGTTGCATCAATTATATTCATTTTTCATAAAAGTTGGAATGTAGATTTTTTAAAATGTAATTATTGTTTAGGAGAAAATAATGCTTTCCAGTTGTACACTTTCAGATCAGTTTGAGATAACAGATATCCTAGATGAGACACAAAATAATGACCTAGAAGTATATCATTTGAAATGTCTGTGCTAATGGCAAAGTGCTTCACTCACATTTTAAGGAAGACCACTGAGTAAGAATTGGGCTAATGACCATCCTCCATCAATCAATCAACACAGGCAGCAAAAGTTTTATCACTTAAGGTAAATCCAGAACATAAACTCTGGACACCATCTTCAACATACTAGCAGTGATAATTGAGACATCTTACGAAGCAATAAAGAACAAAAAATAAGTTTTAAAGAAAGTTATTTATATCAGAAAGTCTATTTTTACAAAATGATTTCTTGTTAAAGAATAAAAACTGAGGAAGTAAAACAGAGCAAAGCTGTTTTCTTTTTAATATTGGCAATACATAATTTGGTAAGATTTTTCATTTCCTAAAGTGAAATGTTTGGTCATTCCATAGTTGGCATTTAAATGCAGTAGATAATAATAGTTTAAAATAGCACTGGTTTTTAAAGTCAGTTCAAAGAAAGTAAGAAGCTTTTGTTGTTCATCCTTTTCATGGAATTTTGCAAAAAACAGAAGTGTTAGAAAAAGGTAAACTGTGAAAAAAGCCTTGGCTTACCTCCAATGAAGCCCACTGTGATGTAAAGCTGTACTACACTGTTGCTGAAGGAGGCCAAAATCATTCCCAAACAGCACAGTAAGCCTCCTACCATTACCACGGGTCGGCTGCCATATTTATTCACCAAAATACTACTGATGGGACCTGAAAGGAGTGTGAGAAACAGTTCATGGGTTCATTTATTTCTCCTTAATATTTATTACTTTTGAAAGCTGAGAAAGAATAGTTTAATTAATAAATAGAGTATAATAAGAATTTTTTCACAATACTTCACAGGTAATCAGTTTGACAGGTTATTTACTTGTGAAGGATGAGCTCTCACTATGTTGCGCATGCTGACCTTGAATTATTGGGCACCGGCAGGCTCTTGCCTCAGCTTCCCAAGTAGCTAGGATTTGAGGCATGTGCCACTACTTCCAGTAGAGAGGCTATTTTAAAAATTTACATTTTTGTAAGTATGTCTATATAATATATAATGTTCAGATTGTGATTTTAACCATATAAAAGTGCTGTATAAAAAGGCATATTAAAGAATAAATTACAAGTATTTAAACTAGAAATGCTTATTAACCTAACCATTTGAATTGTGGTGAAAAAATTTTTATAGAACATAGCTAAAACATCTAAAATAGCCTTAAAATGCTAATAAAATTTTTGTAACAAAAACCAGGTCTTAATCAAATGACTTATTGCAATTATATAAAATTTCATTTTCTAGAATAATGTTCATATGTGTGTACATATATATGCCATTAACTAGTGTTCAAATTATAATTTATCTTTGATTTCCCTTTAGTATACTATGTTTTATTGATTTTAGGACTCCAATTATTTTCACATAGTATTTTATCTATTACTAAATAGTTAAAATGTTTTACAGTTCGATGTTTTATACGTGGTGTCTTCTTCCAATAAGTTCAAGTGGGAGTCATAATTAATAATGTAGCTAACATGGCCAAAACATATTTGGATTTATTTCCTGTAATATGTGTGGACCATACTTAATCCCCCACATTTCAGTCAATCAATTTAAGGAGCATTTGAAAAAGGAATACATAAATTAATCTTGATTTTTGCACAAAAAATCTGTTGACAAATATTTTATGATTTAAATGTTTAACAGATGGGGAAAATGCGTATCAGAAATGCATCCCAATTACAGGGAGGAGGCTGGTCCAGGTTTCCATGGATAAATATTGCTTACTCTTTTAAGGCTATATTTCCTAAGCTCCTAGTACAAAGTCAGTGACTAACCAACAAAAAAAAATAATGAATTGCAACAATAATCCTTATAGCAGTATAGTCTAAAGGAGCTAATGAATGTGATTTTTAAAACTATAATATATATCACAATAAATTAGACTCAGAATGAGTAAAATTATTTATCTATTATTTTGATTAAGATCTTTCCTCAGTATTACTCATGTGTTTCATTTTGCATGTGATGAGTAAGAAATGAGTAAGGTGATTATTATATTCTATAAATGTGTTTGTCCAAATTACATAAATTTGAACGTATGAATCACAATTTAACTTGCTGTATGTGGCAAATAAGTGTATCTGTACTTTGGCATAAGTACATAAAGGTTTCTTTGTTCATTTTTGTGACTAATTAAGGGTAGTTACTAAACAGTTTAATAATGAAAGCTTTTTTCTTTTTTGAGAAAGTATTTTTTAATAAACTTTATATGGTTACTAGGCTCTAATGAGTATTATAATTGTAATAAACACTTTTATAATTATATAATTAAATGATGCCCTGTAAAGACATATTTATATCAGTCACCTATAGTCTTTTCTTAGCAAGAAAAGTTATCACAGATCTATTTAAGAATAAACAAATAGTTTGTTTCCTATTATGCTGAACATTTAAATCATAACATATTTTTTGGAAATATTTGTAAATTAAATTTAAATTATAATATATAAAAGATACTTTCAAAGAATGTTGAAATACTTAATATTAGCTTGAGAAGATATTTAACACCAAATGTAAAACACACTACCATTCAACACTTCATCCTGCTAGCAGCTTAGTGGTTTGGGTTGTTTGGTTAGTTGGTTTGGTTTGGTTTGCTCATTTTTGAAACTAGGTCTTCCTAAGTTGCCCAGGCTAGCCCTGAACCCACGATCCTCCCACTTCAGCTTTCCAAGTAGCTGGGATTACTGACGTGGGCCATTGCAGACAAAAAGTTCATTGCATTAATGAGAAAGATGAAGACAAAAAGAAAATAATAAACTCCTATGAATGTGATTTTTGTTAAGTATGAACTAGCCTCACAGGTGTCTCTTTTTAGTGAGTCTTAGGCATAAATTGTAGTGTGAGTTTATCTATTCCCATCATTTTCAAAGTTTTTACTCAGTATATTTTTAAAGTAATTGTGATGTTCATCATGTGTTATGTCAATAATGAAAACTCTATATCCACAAGGGGTATCTGTGCACATGTCTAAATACAGCGAAGGCAGTCTTTCTCAATGTTTGATCAATCTGCTTGTAGAGCACATCAAAAAATTCTTTTTTTTATAAACATTCACAAAATATTAGATGTTATCTAAATAACACTGATGTGGCTACTAATTCTCCTGATCTGTAATTCCAATTTATCTCAGAATTTTAAAGAACAGCAATTTTTATGAAACTGTAGAGGATGGCATTCAGAGAAAATCACAACATTGGCAGCAATATAATTGTTACATCTTTGTCTTTCCTGAAAACCAAAAATTTTTATGGTTGGAGCTCTTCACCATTTAACAACAAAAAATGCTTATACTAGCAAAGAAACTTTTTGGGTTCTTATAAATTTAATGGAATATTTGCCTATTCTTAAAACTCTTGCTGGACTTACTGTTGCTAAATAGAAAAAAAATATTTTCTATTTTTTGGCATGTTTTGTTCCTGCATTCTATTCCAAGCTCTTTGAAAGTAGGTGCCATAACATATTCTTAGTTATCAGCCTCTGTCATGGTTGATGTCTGTGGCCCCCAGGCCTTATGAGTTTCATTGTGCATTTGAGATTGGTTCATTATCTAGTGCTTGGACTGACATAGGGGTGGAGCCAGGATGTGATGTAATGGCAGGAAGTAGGAGTGTCTGTCTTTTTGCTGGTTCTGGCTTGCTGTTTGCAGCTGCCATGAAAGGCAGCCCAGCCAGGCCCGCCTGCCTGGGAGCCAACTGAGCTGAGTGTGGACTCAAATCTCCAAAAACTGTAAGAAATAAACCTTTCCTTTCCCAACTTGGGCTTCAGGCATTTTTGTCTCAGCGACGACCATAAAGTAACTAAGACAGCCTCTGTTGATCATTACACTATACAATGTGCTTAGAATCATATGTGCATCACTGCATATATTTTTCATTGCAGTAATAACTACTGAATTAAAATTACTCAACAGTTGATAAAACTCATGCAAAATGTTTCAATAATTTTTTGAAAGTTGTATCAATAATAAGCGGTAAAATCCAGACATGAGCTCAAGGTTATATGATTACAAAACTGTGCTTTTAGCCAGTGTACAGAAAAGATTTAGTATAGTAAGGCTAAAACTGCTATCCACAGAAATATGAATTTACATGGTGGCTCTTGACTGGCCTCACGGAGTTTGGATTTCAGGAGTATTCTTATCATATCCTAACTGATTAGAGGGGCTTTTATGACTTGTATTTAGATGTTCCCCCAAAACTAGGTGAGGATTTTTCACAGATGGCTGGATCTGCAGTGTTTTACACTGGAAGTAAATCATGGTGCAATGCTAGGATCAAGGGTACTAGGATTTACAGTGTGAGTGCCACCTACCCTCTATCCCTTATGGGATAGAAAACACTGGTTTTCTCTCACTTGCTTGCTATGCTGCCTTCTACCTGCCATGAACCATTTCTTCTCTGCAATACCTGTCAGGCATCCACCTACCTTGGAGTCAGCCGATTATGTACTGAAACCTCTGCAAATAAACCTTTTCACTTTAATTTTAGTTGCTGGGTATTTTGTCTCAGCAAAGAGAAAAATAAGACAGAATTTGGTGTCAGATTAATTACTGTGGCTACACCTGACTACATGGTTCAGGAGCTTCTGGGATGGCTTGTGGTTAAGCATCTCCAACAGGAGACAGGCAATATAAAACTCTAACCCTCACCTTCCATCCTGATTTACTTTTTTTGGGTTCTTCTCATGTCAGCACCAGCACCATCATTCACCCAGTTTTCTATGCCAAATATCAACAAGTTAGCCTTATTCCTCATTTATTCCACCAGCCAGTTATGATTAATTAATATGATTCAAAATTTATCCTATTTCTGCCTACTTCCTGTCTCCTAACATTCTGGTCCAAGTCAGCATCATCTCTGTTCAGAATCCTCTCTACTATTCTTTTCTTTAATAATCCACCCCCTATGGAGTAGTTTGGGTAATGTTTCTCAGTCAAGGGGATTGTGTCTTTATTCTGCTTAAACTCCCTCAGAGTTTCCCATCTAACCTAGAAAATAATCCTCTCTCCTTATTCAAGCTTACAAAGTTCTATACCCACATATTCTTTGCTTATTTTATGATCCTCTTTGTAATGCTACAGCTACCTGCCAAATCTCTGCCTATCTGAGGAGCTTTTTCCTATCGCTTCACCACACTGTTTCTTTCTTACATCCTATTTTCAGTCTACATGCTACCTCCTCAGCCTGGCTGTCCCATTTACTGCATCACACTGTTACTCTTAGTCTTTCTCTAGCATTTATCCTGCTGCCCATTGGGCTGTAAGCTTTGTGAGACGAGCTCTGCAAGTTCTCGTCATTCCTGTATTCACAATACTTGGAGCAAAAAAAACAAAACAAAACAAAACAAAACAAAACCCAAAAAACCACCACCAACAACAAGCAAACCTAGCTTTAAGGGGCTTGGGATTTAGCTCAGTGGCATAAGCAGGCAGTCATGAGTTCAATCCCCGGTATGGATTAAAAAAAAAGGAAAAAAAATAATACTTGGAGCAGTGCCTGTTAAACAGTGCCTGTTTTGGAAGAGTCTGGTAAAATTCAGAGATACCAGCTGAAAAAGTAAAACTGGAATGCCCAAATCAGTACTTGATGTGAGGTTCTGGTCAGAGATCAGAAGAACAGGTGGCTGATAGAAATCTTTCTGGTAAACACTAGGCTTGGGAGAT